GGTCCTTGTCCGGGCCTGGAGAGTTCCGCGGCGAAAGTCGCGTGAGGGATGCTGCAGACCGATCCCTACGGCGCAGCGCCTTGGTTGTGTGTTGGGCCTCGTTGAAGCTCCTAATAATAATATTGAACAGCCCAACAGTATCCACGTCGTATCCATCCGAGTATTCAAACTTCTTACATAGGGCTCGGGCGCCAGCCACAGCCTTTTTCACATGCGTCTCGAAACTGGGAGGGGGGCTCTTCGTACTCCCCTTCGTGGATTCCTCGACGGAGGTGATCTCAAGGAGAGGAGGCTATCGAGGTCGCCCTCCGAATGCTTTCATCCTCGGATTCGCGACCAAGATCGCGGGCACCCGACGGAGGAAAACGTGCCAGGCTTCTCCTGGGCACGAACGGAGATTCTCCATACTCAGGGTCAGATCCCTTACTTCCTGTAGCCATTACAACCACGTCGGCCACGTTTCCTACCAACGTGGAGGTGGTGCGGATGCCGAGAGACACCCTATGCTCGGTAAAGCCGAACAGAGACGCAGGTGGCACTGGGTGAACCTTCAAATTATTCTTAGGATCCATAATAGGTTTGTTTTATTAGAACATAGAAAAACAAAGACAAAAAGTGTAAGTAGCGTAAATGTAGTAAAGTGGTCAGGGGGATCCCTGGGAGTGGGGGACCGACAACCCGTCCTGCCCCCCCCCCCGGTGGCCTCGTCGGCCCCCCATACCCCGCAGCAGGGTCTCGTCCGGTCGCTACTCGGCACTACTACGAGGAGAGAGATTTAGCGCAGAACGCCCTACCACTGTGCAAAATATAACGTGATCCAAAATAGGTTTTGACACACCCATTATTGATAAAAGTTCCTTGTCGATATTAACGCATCGATTAGTTCTCGATACGACCATGTTTCCACCCTTAACCGGTCTACTCAATGTATTATCGAGAATCTTTAATACTTCTGCACCGGCTACTCCAGAGCGTTCTAACGTTCTACATATTGTAATAACGATGTCTAATCTATCCACTATTTCGGCCTTTACAACTGCTCGGACCTGTACAAAAATAAGAATGCCAATGAAATGAACGTTAATCAAGTATATAACATAATAGGAAACAATTTTACCGAGGATGCCATTATCGAAGCCGGATCTCATACAAATAGTTTTCCATGGTCCGGTGTGGGAGAAAATTTGTCGCAAATCGCATATTTCAATTCGTCGATAACGGTTGTTTTTCCGGTGCCATTTTTGTCATGAATAAGTGTCAGCGATTGAGAAAATGTAATCGTAACTTCTTCATTTTTATCGCCAAAATTTCCAATACCTCGCAAAACAAGTTTTCTCACGCTCGACTCTTGCTGCTGCTACAATTCTAATGAAAATAATTTGACGCTTTAAATGAATTAATTTGCGGAAAATACAATATATAAAATATGTATAGTATATGCATATGTATAGATTTACCGCTGCTCAACGTGTGCGCGATGACTGTTACAATTTTGAATAAGTGACAAAATGAATATGAACAGAGAGAATATAACCTTGAAACAATTGAACTCGGGTGAAGACAAAACAACTCCATATGGAACTTTCGGGGCAGTATTTCAGCTGCCATCTGCGGTAATTAGAAATTATTGACAAACTAAAATTCAATCTATCGATTTAGACGGGGTATGTCAATTTCTGGATTTTAGAGCCAGCTAGAATGTATTCGGTGCATTCGGTGTGTGTACACACACACATACGCGCGCACACACAACATAGTTGTTTAAAGCAACAGAATTAACATTGAAATAATTCTTTATAATTCGGAAGTTAAAAATAATTTTCGATTTCTTTTAGCGCACTTTTAGCGCAGAAGTTTTCGCTCTAATTGTTTTTTTGTATATAATTTGAGGAAATTTTTGATATGTCTTTCATAATTAGGATAATTCGTATAAGTAAGACTTGTATGTACTACATTTACGTATAATATTTATAATTGTTGACAAAGTTAAAAAAAAACAAATATAAAAAAGGTTACTATTGCATTGTAATTACATTAAAAGAATATAAATATATAATGTTTGTGTTGTTGTTGATTGTTAATAAAAGTTGGCAATGAAATTAATATGATTAGAAACGAATTGTATATTTGCATGCGACGAGCATGCGCCGCACTTGTGAATTTCTGATAGTACTGTGTTAATAAGAATGTAAATGTTATCAATAATTTGAGCGACGTCTGCTGATAAAATAAAATAAAATGGAATGAAAGAAAATAATTTAAAATGGTTCATTTTCATTTCGATTTGTTTGGACAAATTGTAAGGGGATATAATTGATGGATTTGATATGGTACACATATTTTATCTCATTATATAGTTTAATACTTAATTAGTATTACCACTAATACTTTCCCTCCTCCCAAGCCCTCCACTGTCACGATTTTGCGGAGGAAAGAACACACAATAACAACGCGCGCAAAAAGCACTCCTCGATCCTTCGATATCACGGTTTTGCAGCGCCTGATCCTTCTCTATCATGGTTTTGCGAAGCCTGATCCTTCTACATCATGGTTTTGCGAAGCCTCATCCTTCTATATCATGAGTTTGAAAAAACCTCATTACCGACTACAGATATACTTGTTGTATTAGACTAAACACAGTGTGTTAATATTAGCGTGCATAGATCATCTCGATAATTTACCTTCTGTATTTACACTTTCGACTATCGATAGACTATCGACTGTAGATTACCAACGAACTATCGATACATTACCGACTACAGATATACTTGTTACATTAGGCTGTATTAATATTACTGCTGTATTAATATTACTGCTGCATTAATATTAGCGAGCATAGTCTATATCGATAACTTACCTTATGTACTTGTAGTTCCGACTATCGATACACTATCGACTATAGATTCTCGACCAACTATCGACACATTACCAACTACAGATATACTTCTCATATTAGGTTAAACATAATGAATTCAGATTAGCGAGCATTGACTATATCGATAATTTATCTTATGTAGTTGTATTTCCGATTATATGGATACACTACTTGCTACAGATTACCGAATACAGATATACTTATCGACCATAGATACAGTTAATAATTAACAATATAACAACAACGAGAAAACGATAGCGACGGTAACGAAAGAAAATAGCAATAACGAAACGACAACGGTAATAATTCTCAATGAAAGAAAATACCACGGCGATTCGTTTGCTGCGTGGTCGTTTGACACGAAAACAAACAATTTCGAAAACAGTCGTCGCTTGCGAGGACTCTGAAACAAGGAGGCCCAACATCTGGACTTTGTCGCTCTTACGACGAGTTCTTGAGACCTGGTCGCGTACGGCACAAACATGGGAAGATTGGAATTTTCGCGTCCGAAAATTCTTTTCCACCATGTTGCGGATCCGCTACAACACGCTCTCTTCGTTTCATTCGGGCTTGAGTCAGAAGAATCGGAATTGAAAGAGATACGGTGGTATCCGTGGAAACAATGGCGTCTGTACCGTTCGCTCGGTTTCACGATTCGTTTCGTAGGTACGCAGTTATTATTATCCGAAGGAGATTACGGAATTTCGATTGGGACGTCCCGATGCGTCGAGAGAGATGTCCGAGCATCGTGGGAACCGGTGAGAACGCGAACAGCATCGCGAACCAAGAACCATGGATGATGCCTTTGAAATTTCGTTTCAAATAACCGTTTCGATACAAAACGTTGAACGTTAAACGTATCGGGAGTTTCGAGTATGTGAGTTCGCGAAATGAATTCGAGGTGTTGATCTGTACACGGAGAACTTTATTTACTCAACAGACGGTGTTTGCCCGACCAGGACGATCGTTCAAGTTTAAATTGAGATTGAAATTGGAACGCGAGACGTTCGCTGGTTTAGTTTCCGAAGCCTGCCGTTCGATCAGCGGCAATGAATGTGTAGCGTTAACGTTACAGTATTCTAGGGTTACATATTCCGAGAATAAATGTGCGTCGTAAATTACCGAACGAGGATGGTGCGAATGCCCGCAGAGTGGTAGGGGGTAGGGAGATAGTGTTTTGTTTAGGTTTTGTGGAACTCTTCGAGCCGTTTGGCCGAAAGGAAGAGCGCGAGCGAGTGAGGCAGCGAATGAGAGAGAAAGAGGGAGAAAATGTGTAAGAGTGAAACAAAGTGTATGGGCGAGTGGAGAGTTTGTTATGAAAAGCAACGAATAGGAAGAAAGGGCGAAGGAGATTCGAAGGGTGGAAGATCCGAACAGAAAAGTCGAGAGGTATTCGTTACCGAGACGCGAGCGTTGAAACATGCAGCACCATTTGGAAGAAAAGTTCGTCGTCGCGAAGAACTAGGAGCGAGGACATAAAGTAAAGTAAGGAGATACCTAAATGGTCTACCTAAATGAATCTAAACCGCTAGATTGAATTTTAGTTTGTCAAAAATTACTAATTACTGCAGATGGCAGCTAAAATACTTCCCTGAATGTTCCGTATACAGTTGTTTTGTTTTCACCAGAGTTCAATTGTTTCAAAGGTTCTCCCCCTGTTCATATTCATTTTGTCACTTATTCAAAATTGTAACGGTACATCGCGCACGTTGAACCGCGGTAAATCTGGCAACTATACATATTTTATATGTCGTATTTTCCGCAAATTAATTAATTTAAAGCATCGAATTATTTTCACTAGAACTGCAGCAGCATATACTGGACAGGATGTCGAGTGTAAGAAAACTTGTTTTGCGAGTATTCGAAATTTTGGCGACAAAGATGAAGAAGTTACGATTACATTTTCTCAACCCAAAACACTTATTTATTGTCCAAATGGTACCGGGAAAGCAACCATTATCGAGACATTGAAATATGCTATTTACGGCGAATCCCCCCCACACCGAATCATGGAAAATTCTTATTACAATATTGTAATAATGTTGCCTTCTCTATTTCGGTCTTTATGTAGAACATCTGCAGTGGCATAATATCGCAAAGAATGTCAAGCGTAATAAAACTTTCTTTGCGGGGTATTCGAAATTTTGGCGAAAGCAAGATGGCATAAAGTAACTTGTCTAAACGACTATTCGAAATATTAACGACGAAATGAAATAGAAGAAGAGCTTGATGGTTTAACGGAAGTATTATTGACGGTAATGGAAACTTGCGATGATGAACTAAAGAAAGAAGTTGACACGATAAAAAAGGTACAGTACAGCACAGTACAGTAAATTCTCCCGAATTGTCATTCACTTCGTGAATAAAACTGATTATGTGAACAACTGTAAAAACGAGGCGCAAGGCTTGAATTATTGTATCCATCCACCCTCATCCCAAATTGTACATTTTTGTTCACAAGCTGAAGGACAATTGGAGAGAATTTGCCATACTTGTTTCCAGTTAATAAGTATTTTAAAACTTTGAGTTTGCATTTATTTTTGTATGTTTAGTTAGACTCAAGGATTAAAGTAATTGCTGAAATGGAATTGGAAAAACAAAGGATTAATATATCGCGTAGCAAATATTCGGAAATTGAGTCTGAAATAAGTGTGAAAAGTAAAATATATGCGACAAGAGATGAGATCAAGAAAATCGAATTGCAGATAGCAGATTTAGGTGGTAAACATATAAAGGCACTACAGGAAGAACAAGAAAACTTGTTCTCAGAAGAAGTTTTTTTAGGAATCTCGCTGGACGATCTGATCCAGAAATCGGAAGAAGCCAAAAGACATTTAACCGAAACTATAGAAAAATACGACCGAAGGAGGAAAGAAAATTCGGAGACAGAGAAGATGATTTATAGCAACATATTGGCAGACGGATCAGGCCTGCCATCAGAGGTAAAATAAATAGGAAAAGAAGCTTTACAAAATTCTGAAAATGCGATTAAACAATATGAAAATTCAATGAAAAATTTGTAGTGTGAGAAGAGCAACTGTCAGGCAATGCTAAAGGAACTGAGAGAAGAAGTTTGGAAGTTTGAAAGTTGAATAATGAAATTTATCTAATAACATACTTATTCATAAAGCGAAGGAGAATTATAAAAGTTTACAAGAATGTTTGGGGTTAAATAATGAATCGACATTTACCGATATTAATAGTACCGCAGTGATAAAAGAGTTGCAGGAGATGCGCAATCGAGAAGAGGTCCTCCTGAGAGAGGTAGATTATTTAAGTTAATTTTGAAGAATTATTTATTCAACAAGGATTGAAATACAATCTCTAGCGTACAAGAATATTGCAGACATTTTTTGGTCTTGCTTTTCTTTAATTCTGATAAAAATAATGTACTAAACATTTAACATTTCCTTAAACTTGACAATATTTCTTTGTAGATATGTAATATATTTGAAATTCTGTTCAGACGAACATCTCAATAGGTAATCAAGAAGAATTGGAATGTTCTATTAGAATTGGAAAGAGTAATAGAACAGAGCACTGAAGAATTAAAGCAGTATTGTTCTACTACTCTTTCCAATTTTAATAGAACAAGGCACAGAAGAATTAAAGCAGCACGTAACTAGCATAAATTAGCACGTAAAAGATATAGGAAAAAGTGTTTAGAGATAACGGTAATGTAACAATACCCTACTTTATAGTATACTAGTATGACATGGTATAATATTGCTTCAACTTATCTCTCTCTTAAATCAGGTTTTACAAGAAACGATATTAAATTTGAAAATGTACAGTGAAACACTGGACAGAGCTGCCTTGGAATTTCACGAAGAACGTATGGCATCGGTCAACAGAATTTTGAAGAAGCTGTAGAAACTCGTATAAACTGGGTCATGGAAATTCGCACAGACGGCTACGAAATCTGTAGGTGGTGCAAAAAGGTGATACACCTATAAGTTGGTTCAAAGAAAACATGGTCATGGAATTGACTCGAAAGGTCGATGTAGCGCTGGACAGAGGGTAGAGCATCGTTTAGCAGAAAACAGTAAATTGGTTGATTTATAGAATGCTAATTTCAGGTTGTAACATCTATAGTTATAAGACTTGCCTTAGTGGAGACTTTTTGTAAAGATTACGGAATTGTTGCCTTGGATGAAGAAAAGAAGAAGAAATTTAGATGAAGAAAATGCAGACAGTTTAGCAAATGCATTAGCCAGGTATGTTGCAATGATCAATATTAAGATTAGTTTAATCGAATAAATGGATCGTGAAGGTTGTTTTATATTACAGATTGGTGAAATTACGATCACAATATGAGAAGATTTTTTCAACTGGTCGTAATTAGTGATGATGAAAGGTTTTTGTTAAAATTGGCTGAATGAAGTAAAAGAAATGGAGGCTTTGATGAACTGTTGAAAATGGGTAATTTGTATGTTTTACGGCCTTGTCCGTTTTATAGGTAAAACGGTCCTTGCGGCCCATCTGCAGGACACGTTTTGACTCGAAAGTCCGTTACACGGATTGGTTATTTATGACCACCAAGGATTTTTCGACACACGGTTTGCGGGTATTCCGCGTTTTTAGTCAGTCATCGGTGAGTAGCTTACGAGTACACTCATTGTCTCTAAGCTCTCACGAGCAAGTCTGTAGATTAGATCTTGTGTGTCCAATAAATATACTTTTACCTAAAACTCTGCTGTTAATTATTAGCAAGCAAATAATCAACAGTATGATAAATATTTGTGAATATAAATATGATTTTAAAGGTATTGTATGATTATACTTTCCTTTTTTTCTAAATTCAGCAGTGGATACTCGTCAATTAGATGCTGTGGAGTGAATCGTGTGAAGCGAATGATGTCAAAGAAGCAGCAGCAGCAGCACTAACGTCCGAAGACGATAAAGCGTAGGGAAATTTCTGGGAAAATTATGTAGCGACAGTTTACATAAGAAAAGAAGGTGTACTGGATAGAGTGATAGGTATGTATGTTTGTTCTTATTTTAATCAGAAAAATCTTACAAACACATTTATGCAAATTTTATTTAAAAATAAACAAAAAGAAGGATGTTTCATCTTTGCATTATGTATTTTGTACCTGTTGTCCCATATTCAAGCCCGGATTACATTGCGATCCGTATGACTCGTTCGACTTTGAATTTTTTCGGCATGTCAAGGGGAGCTCCCAACCCCACTCAGTAGTATGTGAAAAACTACCTAAAACTACCATGCATTTATGCAAACAAAAATTACATGTTCTAAGCAAAATGACCTATGCAAACGTAATAAGTGGTACCACTCAAGAAGGAATTGAACGAATTTTCAAGAAACCAATCACATTTCAAGATAGGTGTATACAATCCTGTATGATTGGAGAGTGTTCACAGTCGCAATAACGTGGGAATGATTGGCCTCGAATGTATTCAGAACAGAGTTGATTCAATTACGAATTATTTTAATCACGAGTGTAATTGAAATACAATATATATATATATAATATATATTGTAACGTACGGAGAATCTTCCCACGTATTTTTTATATTCCTTCCTGAAGGCACACGCCTGGCTGGCGCCAGCCAGCCGGGGGTGCATTTGTATATCGTGAGTCGAGTACCTCCGAGGGGGTACGACGACGAACGTTTTGGAATCGGACCACATAGCAACACCCCCACTACCATTTTTCCACAAAAATCTCAGTATATAAAGGGCCCAAACGCGACCGGAATTTGGGCTAGTTTCGTGACATTCGTCGACACGCAAACGTTAGCGAGATTGAGTTAAATTCTCTTTCTACCAAATCTACGAGGTAACAACCTAGAATCAGAAGCCCCCGCCGGTTCAGTGCGAAAAACTGAGAGCGCGTTGGAGTCCGCGAACATTCACACTCACAATTGTTAAACTCAACGCGCAATAAATTAGTTTTTACCAGTTCTCTTTGGTTTCTACTTCAATCATTTCCATCTCCTGCTTCGAACCAGTAGTAGGTAAAACCCACCAGGATATACCTCAACCGCTTGAGGTATATCTTTATTTCTTTTTTCTAACAAAGTTACGAGGCACCCTAACACCACTTTCTCCAAACATTCCAAGTGCATGCAACCTCCGGCCACACAAACTGCCTGCCCTCGGCTCGTAACAATTTCAATCCCTGATTTACATGGATGGATCTCGATAGGAGTCATATAGTATTACATAAAAGTCATTGACGTACCATATCAGCTGCAGGTTTCGATTCGTTATTCCATTAAAAATAGTATGTCATTCCCATTCCTAATTAATTCGCACTTTTCTGCTAATTTTCTTTTTATATGTCTAAATGCAAGTGTTTACCCATTATTTCGTCTATGAACACTAATTTTCCGACTCAGAGAGTGATTTGCTTCGCAAATTCCACTCTCTTTGTTTTATTCACTTCACTGATGTACGGTTGCTTCCTCACAATTTTGCTTTTAAATCCTGCCCAATGTAATTTGAATCGTTCTTGTATGCATTTGATTTTTATTTCATTCCTAGACTTTTGATACAATCTCAGACGCACTTATATCTGGCTTCTTTTTAATAATCCTAAGAATTTCATGTTTTTGTACTGTTAATTTTTTTGTCTGCCACAGTTGGTGCAATATTCTTTCTTTTCTATATTTATTTACTAGGGTAAATGGGGCGACTGAGACACTTGACTGAGCATTCATCGCAGGTAGCTGTTAGGGTAGCTGTTAAAGTGATAAGATACCCTGCGAGTTATTGACCTAAAAATATAAAAATAATTGCCTGTTAAATATGGATTACCTAGAATCATATGATACAGCAACCATTAACTGCTATTGTAAAAAATACTTAGTACCGAGAACTGTCGTAATGGGGAAGGTCAATTTCTGGCAATGAAATTCTTATCCAATGAAGAACGGCTCCATTCTATTCGTAAAGTAATACATACAAAAGTAGCATATCAGTCATCTCTTTCACAATACATACCTGATTTGTGAGAAATAATATCCACAGCCTCTGTCTGTAATTTAAATGTCTCCAAGTGAAAAATAGTTTACCAAGAAACTTATAAGAAACAGGAATGCCTTGCAGCGACACACGGTCGGCGATCAAATATCCATTCGAACTGTCCGCTTTCAGATGTCATGGATTAGACGAGAAATATCTTCCCTGATGTTTATAAGCCTGGAAATGACTTTATTCTTTTACTATTTTCACGTGTACAGCAAACTTCGCTGATGAAAACGTCGTCTGCCGCGTACCGATACGGAGTTATAGTCGTCGATTGTCAACAACTATAAAAACAAGCCGTGAGGGTTAGCCTAGTTTCCGATGTAGCTGAGTAGAATCCATTCTTCTTTTAGTTTAATAGCGAGGTTAGGACCTCGTCATCCGGTCTGGTAACGGTCAGATGTAGTTCAGAACAACACTTCTCCGTCAGCCCGGCCGTCTTACGGCGAGGCCATGCTGTGGACCATACTGATCTGTTGGTGTGAGTTTTACGATGCCCCCGCGGTGACGTTTGTATAAATGGGCATCAATGGTCGTTACGTTACCTTTCATTTGGCATCCTTACAGGCATTCTTACACCATTGTTTCAGATGCATCGTAATCGGGTGATATTGGCTAACGAGACCGGCGATACCGATGCTGCAACGAAGCATCCCGGAGGATCGAGAGCTTCTGAAATATTGAACCGAAAGGAACAAAACGTCGCGATCATTCTCCAGCATTCCAGAAATGTGTCCAGGAAGAAATAAAAGAAGATCGCTGAGGCACCGCAGGTATGTATCAGTTTCGATCGTGAATGTACACATGGCCATTGTGCCATTTTTATATCTTCACATTTTTACATTTTTATTAAATTATTTCGTCATTAAAGTCATACTTCGAATACAAGATTTTTGTGTATGGACATCTATTTGTTCATATACATGGAAAATGAATACACGACAAAATATGGTAGTATTTTTGACATAATACATGAAGAATTGAAATAAATCGTTCGATTCATTTGTTATTTATGCAAGAAAGTGAAATATTGTGTGGACGAAATGATAAGGCACTTTAAATATGAAATAAAAATGCTTTGACGTTGTCCCCGTTTTG